GTGGGGATTTGAACAGGAGGGTGAGGATTGTAGGGGGCTGGAGGAGGAGGTGATGGAGATAGGGAGGGAGGGATTTGAACAGGAGGGTGAGGATTGTAGGGGGCTGGAGGAGGTGACGGAGATAGGGAGGGACGGAGTCGGTGCTGGCAGGGTGTCCCTCCCTCCCTCTCCCACCCTCCTGTTCACTCCGTACCACCCTCGAAGGTGCCCGTGCCCCTCCGATGCCAGTCTCTCCAGCCCCGATTCCCTACGCCCCGCCGTTCGGCCCGACGCCTCGGCCTGTGGTACTGTCCCTTCCTCTCACCAGTACCCCCCAAGTACATCCACACTCTCTGACCGAGCTTTCACTCTCCTGTCCCTCGCTGCCGCCTCCACCTCCCTCAGAGGGTGGCGGGGGGTGCGCGGAGTGGCGCAGTGCGAGGGGCATCGTTTGAAAGTGCCCCCTGGGGGTGGGGGTGCGGGGGGCGGGGGCAGGCAAATCAACATTTAAAAATGGCGGCGCCCTTTGTCCAAAGTCACTGCGACGGAGGCAAATTGGGAACGAAATTGGGTGTTTCTCACCCAAGGGTCGCTACATAAATGAAATCAGCAATGCCATCGGGTTCACAGTGACAGTGGCTATATAAATGAAATCAGCAATGCCATTGGGTTCACAGTGAGAGTGGCTATATAGATGAAATCAGCAATGCCATTGGGTTCACAGTGAGAGTGGCTATATAAATGAAACCAGCAATGCCATTGGGTACACGGTGAGAGGCGCTATATAGATGAAACCAGCAATGCCATTGGGTTCACGGTGAGAGGCGCTATATAAATGAAACCAGCAATGCCATTGGGTTCACGGGGAGAAGTGGCTATATAAATGAAATCAGCAATGCCATCGGGTTCACGGTGAGAGTCGCTATATAAATGAAAACTTTCTCCCGCAGGTCGGAATCCCAGAGCCCGCCGCACAGCGGTGCGCCCTCCAGGTGGCGATGGCGCTCGACCACCTGCACGGCCGGGGCCTGGTGCACCGCGACGTGAAGCCGGAGAACGTGCTGCTGTTCGACCGGGAGTGCCGGCGCGTCAAGCTGACCGACTTCGGGCTGGTGAGGCGGGAGGGCCTCAACGTGTGGCACGGCCCCAGCGCGGTGCCCTACATGGCGCCCGAGCTGTGCGGGGAGGAGGCGCGCAGGGACGGGGCGCGGGTCTCGTGCGCCGAGGACGCCTGGGCCTTCGGGGTCCTCCTGTACAGCGTCCTGACGGGGAGCTTCCCCTGGGAGCGCACCTCCTCCGAGGACCCGCTCTACCGCGCCTACGCCCTCTGGCGCCAGGAGGGGGCTCCCGACGCCTCCTGCCCCCCTCAGTGGCGCTGTTTCACCCCCTCCGCCTCCCTCATGCTGGGGGGCTTCCTCTGCCCCCGTCCCGATGCCCGCTCGGCCGTGGCTGAGGTGCTCAGGTACCTCAAGCAGAGGTGGGTCCTCCGGGACAGACCCCCTGGCCCTGGGGCAAAGCCCGAGGAAGGAAGGACGGCAGCGGCGCCAGGGAGGGGAGGGGAGGGCGGGTTGGTTGTGCCAGACGGGGAAGGCTCAGGGGCACTCATACCCGCCTGCCCCACGGGCACCCCCCCCC